CCCTTTAGTAAAACGTGGTTTAGTGAAAACGACCTGAGGCCCAAACCTGGCGGGCGCAAGCCTGGAAAATAACGGCCACGGCGCCCTCTCGAGAACCGAAAACGGACAATTCACTAATCGACGTGTCACTGTTGGGGGTTGTGTCCACCTCCGATTGCAGATATAGCATGCCTTCCGAGCCTGCACGGGCGCCAAGTGGCTGGCGCCGAAGGACGAACCACACCGCCAGGCGGCGACGGCAGGCGAGGCGGGCGGGCGGCAGGGGAGGACGGAAGGGAGGGCGGGCGGAGGGCCGCGGTGGGGGCAGGAGGGCCCAGAGTCGAAGCGAGGAGTCCGACCGGCAATCGAAATGAGTCGGCGGAGATCGGAATGAAATCGGCAAGCGATGATGACTACCTACCAGACCACCCCAACCCAACCCGAAGACCCGAATTTCGGGTTGGGGGGAGTACGGGTTCCATACGTGTTTTCGCGACGTTCCCCGACCCCCCCCCCAACTGGAAATGGAGGGCAAATCGAGACCTTCGGGTTGGGTTGGGGTGGTTTGGTGGGTGGTGAGATGAGTCCAATCTGCGGAAATCGGAAGCCGGGTCCAGGAAAGCCGACCCGGCGGACAGCGGCAGGGGCCAGCGTGCCTCCGGCGAGAAACCGGAGGCCCAGGTCGGAGTCCCCAGCCGAGCCGCATCGGCATCGGAGGCCGTCGGAGTCGAGTCGACTCGGCATCGGAGGCCATCGAGGTCGAACCGCATCGGCATCGGAGGCCATCGAAGTCGAATCAAGTCGGAATCGGAGGCCATCGAAGTCGAATCGAGTCGGGATCGGAGGCCATCGAAGCCGAACAACATCGAATCGGAATCGGAGGCCGTCGAGGTCGAACAACATCGAATCGGAGGAATCGAAACGAGCCACGTTTTGGAGGCCCGAAATGGGTACGGAAAGAATGGGTACAATGCCCAACAGCAGTTCCTGTTCATGCTGAACAGGACTCGCCGTCGGTGTCGCCGCGGCCTGTGTCCACTTGAGACAGAAGGCCGCCTGCCCCACAGCGGCCGCTGTTGGCTTGGGACATCATTTGTTGATGAGCATTGCAGCCATTCTTCCCGTACCCATGCCGGCGTCCAAACGTCACGGGGAGCATCGGAGGCCGCCGAAGTCGAATCGGATCGGCATCGGAGGCCACCGAGGCCGAACAACATCGGATCGTACTCCAGATTTCGTAATAAAAGGAGGGGTCTGGACCCTCCAAGACAAGCCATTTCAGACCTCCCCCGTGGGAGAACCCTCCAAAACATCGTCCCCAGATCCCCCAGGCCCTCCAAGATAGCCTGGAAGAGACCCCCCCGAAATGAGACCCCCATCCCTTTATTACGAAATCTGGAGGAGGCATCGAGACGAGCCACGCGGGGGGGGGCCGACGCGGGCGAGGCGCCGGCGGGGCGCGGCGAGGCGGCGAGGAGCCGAGCCGCCGCCCCCCCTCAGTCTGAAGGGGCCCCAGGACACACAAATAAATACACACAAATAAAAAGATTCCCCATATTTTCCAATATTTTTTGGGTTTCTGTCTTCCCCCCCACTTCCCATATCTTCCTATATTTTCCTGGGAATCGACGATTAATTGTGTCTGTGATTTTTCCCCTCCTGACGCCCCCCCTCCTGCAGCTGCGGGTCGATCATCAGCGGCCAGCGCCTGGACCACTGCAGGATCAGCGCGTTCTCGATGGACACCTCCGCCGCTCGCCACAGGAGGGGTGAAGGGGCCTCCTCCTCCTCCTCCTCAGCGCGTTCTCGATGGACACCTCCGCCGCTCGCCACAGGAGGGGTGAAGGGGCCTCCTCCTCCTCCTCCTCCTCCTCCTCCTCTCCTCCTCGCTCCTCCTCTCCTCCTCCTCCTCCTCCTCTCCTCCTCCTCGCCTCCGCCTCCGCCTCCGCCTCCGCCTCCGCTCTCAGACCTCCGCCTCGCCGCCTGCCGCCTCGCCTCCGCTCCGCCTCCGCCTCCGCCTCCGCCTCCGCCTCCGGCCTCCCCTCGCTCGCTCGCCTCCGCCTCCGCTCCGCCTCACGTCCTCGCTCCGCCTCCGCTCCGCACCCTCGCCTCATCCTCCGCCTCCGCCTCCAGCAATCCGCCTCCGGCCTCCGCTTCGCCTCCCGCCTCCGCATCACGCCGCCGCCTCCGCATCCGCCTCCGCCTCCCCTCAGCCGAGACAGCCGAAGACATGCCTACAAGAAGATAATGACCTACGCAGCAGAAGACTTCGCACCAGCCTCATCCTCGCCTCCGAATAAGAGCAGCTGCTTCTGTCTTGCCAGTCTAGACATCTGGAAAAAAGCAGCAGCAATCTAGCAGCAATCCTCAGCATCATAATCATCATTCCATCTTCGCTCCTTTCTCATCATCATTAATCTTCATCATCTTCATCTTAACATCATCTATGCACTTCATCATCATCATCATCAATCATTTCATAATCTTCATCATCTTCATCATTCATTCCACCCCCCCCCCCTCCTCTCCTCCTCCTCCTCCTCCTCCCCCCCCCCCCTCCCCCCCCTCCCCCTCCCCTCCTCCCTCCTCCTCCTCCTCCTCTCCGCCTCCACCTGCTCCTCCTCCTCCTGCTCCCTCCTCCTCCTCCTCCTCCTCCTCCTCCACTCCTCCTCTCCTCTCTCCTCCTCTCCTCTCCTCCTTCCTCCCCCTTCCTCCCGCCGGCGCCACAGGGGGGTGAAGGGGCCTGGGACACACAGACAACTACACACAAAGCACAGGGTGCCCCATAGCTTCACCTATCTTCTGGGCTTCTGCCTTGCCCCCCCCCCCCCCCCGATTCCCAGATTCTGTTTTCTAGGGAATCGACGATGAATCGTGCCTGTGTGACTTTTCCCCTCCTGATAGAGGGGGGGGTGCGAGGGCCCGCGCCGATCGGCAGGACGCGGAATAAACAACGGCCGCCTCCGGAGCCCAAAGGCGGTCCCTGTTTCGGCGTCTGGACTCTAGGGCTCCCAGCGTCGCGCTCTCGCGCCCCGCGAAGCGCGAAGCGCGACTCACTTCGCGCCCTCGCGCCGCCCTCCCAGAGGGAGAAAAGGAGGACGAGGAGGAGGGGGAGAAGAAGCGAGGACCGCGAAGCGCGAAGCGCGAATGACTGCCCGCCCTCGCGGGAGCCCTTGTGGACTGCACCTGGGGGCGCGCAGCACGTGGAGCAGCGCTCCCAGGGAGCTGGCGCGCGGTCGCCAGACCCGTGGCTCGGGGGAGGTGCCCTCCCCCCCAACGTGCGGCCGGTGCCGCCCCGCTCGGCGGCGGAAATGAGAGCGGCTTCCCACGGAACCAGGGCCCGTCGCTCATCCACGCCCCCTGAATCCATGTTTGCGAGCGCCTGGCTCTGGAAGGCGACATCCGACCCCTGGCCCCCACCAGCCATCGAGTCCCCGAGCCCCCTGCCCCCACAAGCCATCGGTTCTTCCGCAACGGTGGGAGGCAGGGGCGGGGCTCGAGTTTCGCCACGTATTCGACGAAGTCCGGACCCTACCCTGAGGGGCAACGATAGAGGGGGACTGGCGTAGGAGGGGGGGGGAACATCGACCTGGAATCGGCGATACATCGCCGGTGAATCGGCGATGGGCACCCGTTAGTGAATCCGCACGTTCCTGGGCAGGGTGAGGCTGTCGGACCCACATCGGCGATGAATGGACGAGTGAGGGGTCGATGCAGCTGCCCCTGAGCCTATCCCCCCCATCGTTGCCCCTGATACCCCCACCGCCCATCGAGCTGCCTGAAGCGTTGATCGGCGAGGATACGCGTCGGTCGCAAGAAGTACGTAAAAACATGAAGTCGAAGGCGGCGAGAGTAGATTGGGTTCAGGCCCTCCCAGAAAGAAAAAAACAGCAGCAACAACAGCAACAACAACAACGACAACAACAACGACAACAACAACAAAAACAACAACAGCAGCAACAACAACAGCAACACCAGAAACAAGAACAAGCACAGCAACAACAACAACAACAACAACAGCAACAACAACAGAAACAACAATAACAATAACAATAACAACAACAACAACAACAACAACAACAACAACAACAACAAAAAAAACAACAACAACAACAGTAGCAACAACAACAACAACAACAAACAACAACAACAACAACAACAACAACAACAACAACAGCAACAACAACAGCATCAGCAGCACCCTCATCAGCATCATCATCAACAACAACAATAACAACAACAACAATCACTTTACCCGAACGCTCGGTGTTCTCACCAGTGCCAGGGTTTTCATGCGACGCCAGCCAATACCCCCACTTTGTGGGGGGGCATTGCAAGCTCTACCAAATAACCACACGACTCTTCGCCACCACCCACACCCAGCTTCCCGCCCTATGACGTTCGGACACTTCACTTCGTGGCCTGCGGACGACCGTGGCTACTACACTGGCGTGGAGTACACACCCACAGAAGTTGTTAAGCCTACGTTCGTACACCCACAGAAGTTGTTAAGCCTTGTTATCCCACAGAAGTTGTTAAGCCTTCCACAGAACATCTGTTGCATATGATGCATATGGTACATGATACACATGATGCGCGGTGCTAAAATTCTTAAGAAGCCCAATGGTTTTTGGAGATTTCGGCGTGCGCGCGCGAAGAAAAAACGAATCTGTCCCGCATGGTATTATTTGACAGGGATGATGGCCCTGGCAGGTGCGCAACCGTTGTCGCAGAAGTTCGAAAATGTTGCTCGCAAAAGCCCGTGTGACAGAAATGTTGAAAAAGTGTTGGGTTTCCTACGAATCCGCAAGAGCGCGCGGGATGAGATTTTGACATTTTTTGTTGAAAAACCATTGGTTTTTTTGATGTTTTTATGTTGAAATCGCTCCGAACACTAAGCTTTTGGAAGGATTTCGTCTTGCGCGCGCGAATGTCCACTTTACCTTATTTTTTGCAAGGGATTCTTGAAATTTGATTTTATTAGAACAAGAAATGTCATTTTATAGTGTTTTTTGCAAGGG